CCCCTCCCCCATGGTCTTCTGTTAAGTTTCTCAGGATCCACATTCAGAGAGACTTTTCTTAACTGCCTCACCTAAATTGGCTCCTGCCCCTGCCCCTGCCCCTTCCCTCACACTTAAGAAATATTCTGGTTTATTATCCCTATTGCTATTACTTTCTGAAATATATTAATATTAATTCCTTGTCTCCCCAACTAGAATGCAAACTCTGTGAGACCAGAGATCTTCTCAGTCTTGTTAACACTGCATCCTAAGTATATGTAGCAAGACCTCAATCATCTGTTGAATGAATTGTGTGAACAAATGGTAGAGAGAGTTGCCTTTCTAACAATCTGCCACTGATTTAAGCAACCAGATCACTGGTGACCATAACAAGAGGAGTTGCAATAGAATGGTGGAAATGAACGACAAACAGGGTGTGGAATAAAAGCAGCCAAAAAATGGTAACAGAAAGCACAGACTACTCTTTACAGAGGCTCTGTGTTGAAAGGATGCAGGAAGATGGTGCAAAAACATGAAAGGAAGGCCAGGTCAAGAAAAGGGTTGATTTTTCCCAACACTAGAGTATGTTGGTCAGCTGAAAGGAAGGGGCCGAAATAGATGGAGTGATGAAGGTTTAGTGAACATTCATTTATATAGCAAACATTTATTTTTACCTTTTTTATTGTGAAAAATAACATAAAGTGTAAAACAAACAAACCCTGCACAACCCCAACACCAAAGTATACAGTTCAATGATCTACCACAAAGTGAATAGTCAACTGGCCAAAAAATAGAACACTGCCAGAACTTCTCATCCAATGTAACCACTTTTCTTATTTTGCCTTCCCTGTTGCCATCTGAATACGGACCTTAAAAAACTATAGTTTGTCTGCTTTTAAAACTTTATATACAGAATCATATAGTATTTATTTTTTGGTGTCTGAACTGTCCTTGCTCAAAATTCTTGCACAATTTACCCAAATTGTTGCATAGAACTATGATTTGTTCATTTTCTGCACCCCTGGACCAAAGGCCTCAGCCTGTTTTGGTATGGCTTTTGAGCTAAGAATGGTTTTTACATTTTTAAAAAATGTGTATTTATTTTTGAGAGAGACAGACACAGTGCGAGCAGGGGAGGGGCAGAGAGAGAGGGAGACACAGAATCCGAAGCAGGCTCCAGGCTCTGAACTATCAGCACAGAGCCTGATGTGGGGCTCGAACTCACGAACTGTGAGATCATGACCTGAGCCGAAATTGGATGCTTAATCAACTGAGCCACCCAGGTACCCCTTTACATTTTTAAAGTGTTGGGAACAAACAACAAACAGTGAGAATATATGACACTGTGTGTGGCCTGTAAAGCTAAAACATTTACAGAGAGTTTAACAACCCCTGCTGTATTCCATTGTATGAATATGTCATAATTTATCAATCCATTCTACTGCTAATGTCCAGTTCCCACTTTTTAGCTTTTACAAATAATGCTGCTATGAACATCTTTGTACTACTTTCTTGATGTGCAAGTACCTTGATGCATGTAAAATGAGCGCACCCTGAGGATTGGGATTATTGGATGAGGGTGTATATATACATTTGGCTTTAGAAAATAATGCCAAAAACTGCTTTCCAAAGTAGTTATAGGAATATTTATATTCCTTCCAACTATGGATCAAAGTTGCCACTGCTCCACATCCTGTCAGCACTTTATATTGTCAGTCTTTTTACTGTTAGTCATTCGGGTGGGTGTGCAGGTGTAGCTCGTTGTGGTTGTGATCTGCATTTTCTGATTAATGATGGTGAGCAACTTTTTATAAGTTTATTGGCCAGTGAATATCCTCTCTTGAAGTCCTTATGTCTCCTACCCATGTTTCTACTGGGTTATCTTTTTCTTATTGATTAACTGGAGTTCTTCATATATTCTGGATACAAGCCCTCTGTTGGTTATGTGTCTCACATGTCTTCTACTCTCCAAATGGAATCAATGTGAAGTTATCAGTTTTAATGTAATAATAACTTATCAATTTTTTCTTTTATGGCTAGTGTTTTTTGGGTCCGAAGACTATTTTTCCAACGCAAAAATCATGAAGATACCCTCCTATACTCTCTTCTAGAATCCTTTTTGTCTTTTTACACATATATATAAAATATATGTATATTTGTGGCTCACTTTGGCAGCACATATACTAAAATAAATGTATATTTGTAATATTCTTGGAAAGGATTTTTGTGTGTGGTGTGAGGTAGGGATTTTGTTTTTATCTATTTCTATATGAATAACAATTTTTCTTGCATAATTTATTTAAAAAGGCTGTTCTTGGAGCACCTGGGCGGCTCAGTCAGTTAAGCATCTGACTTCAGCTCAGGTCATGATCTCACAGTTCATGAGTTTGAGCCCCACATTGGGCTCTGTGCTGATAGCTCAGAGCCTGGAGCCTGCTTCAGATTCTGTGTCTCCCTCTCTCTCTCTCTGCCACCCTCCCCCCACCCCCCACCACTCATGCTCTGTCTCTCTCTCAAAAATAAATAAAAACATTAAAAAAAATAAAAAGGCTGTTCTTCTCCTATAATTTCCAATGGTCATAAATCGTGTCTATATATGTATAGGTCTGTCATCTGACTCTCATTTTATTGTGCAAGTCTATTTTTTATACTTCTTTCAGTGACATATTGTCCTAATTACATTTATAGTAAGATTGGATATTTGGTAAAGCAATTCTTCTTATCTTGATCTCTTTAGGAGTGTTTCAGCTTTTCTTGGTCCTTTGTATTATGTGTTATCATATTAGAATCAGTTTATCAAATTTCACACAAAAACTTCTTAAAATTTAAATTTGATTTGCACTGAGGCTATAGTTATGCTGTTCAATATGGTAGCCACTAGCAGCAACAAACAGCCACCAAGGACTTGAAATATGGTCAGCCCAAATTCTAAGTGTAAAATGCACACTGGAGAAAATAAAATGTACACTGAATTTCAAATAAGTATGAAAAAAAATAATGTATTGTATTGCATTAATCATGTTTTTGTAGTTTTTTTGTTTATTTATTTGAGAGAGAGAGAGAGAGAGAGAGAGAGAGAGAGAGAGAGAGAGAGAGACAGGGTGAGCAGGCGAGGGGCAGAGAGAAGGGAGACACAGAATCTGAAGCAGGTTCAAGGCTCCGAGCTGTCAGCATAGATCCCCACACAGTGCTCAAACCCACAAACCGCGGGATCATGACCTGAGCTGAATGCAGAAGCTCAACTGACTGAGTCACCCTGGTGCCCCCTATCATTTTTTTTAATGTTAATTACATGTTGAAATGATAATATCTTGGACATATTGGTTAAATAAAATATATTACAATTAATTTTACTTTTTTTTTTACTTTTTCAATGTTGCCACTAAAAAATTTACAATTATGTATGTAGCTCACATTACATTTCTATTGGATGATGCTGATCTATACAAACCCACATCTTTACAACACTAGGTCTGTCATAATGTGAATTCAGTACAACTTTCCAAGTTATTTTGGTCTTTAAAATTTTCTTTAAAATACAATCTTCCAGTTTTCTGCATGGAGTTCTTGCATAACTTTTGCTACATTTATCTAGGTATTTGAGATTTTTAAAATACTATTGTAAATACTATCTTTTTAAAAAAATTTATTTTCTGTTGCTAGTATACAGACTTGAAATAGATCTTATTTACTGACCTTTTATCCAACAACTTTGCTAAACTCTTATTAATTCCAAGAATGTATATGAAGATTTGGATTTTCTATGGACACAATCATGTTGCCTAAATAATGACAATTTTATCTCTTCTTTTTAAATCTTAAACCTTACTTCTTTTACTTGCCTTACTGTAGTTGCTAGTACCTCCAGGACAATGTGAATGGAAGTGGAATAATGGATGTCCTTGTCATATTCAAAATCTCAAAGGTAAAGCTTCCAATATTTTAGCGTTAACATGAGGATTATATGAGTACTCGTTTGGAGGGTGTAAACCAGAGACCTGGGCCCCTGGAGTTTCTGCTTGGGGCAGGGATCTTGTCTCTGGCTATATTTGGTGGGGGGCATGAATAAAGGCCACAGGCTCCAAACATGTATGTGGCAAAAAAATAAAAAGGTAAGTTGAGTACTCTAAATCTATGGGGCTTGTTCATATTTCAAACGTCCTATTGATGAATTTCTTAGGTATTTCTTATACTATAGCCAACACTCTAAAGTTTCATTTTTTAGTTTGAAGCATTTATTTTTAAATCTCACCAAAACATATCCACTAAGGAGTACTTACTTAAGAATCATAGTCATTGTTTCTTTTCGATCTTTTCCTTGGAAAGGTAGTGTACCAGTGAGCATTTCAAACTACAAAAGGCAATATCATTAAAGGTATTAATCAATAAGTATAAAATCTCAAGGCCAGAAAGTAAAAAAGCATCATCGTAATTACAACCAAATCTTGTAAAATTGCTATGTAATAAAACAAATGATTTATAGTTCTACTATATTTATTACTGACCTCAAAAACACCCCAAACCTTACCATTAACACACCAAAAGACCACCAGTCTGCACTCTGAGTATGACCTCGACGATTAACTACTTCTGGAGCCATATATTCCACCGTTCCACAAAAAGAGTATGCCTTCTTTTCATGGTCAATAGACTCTTTACTTAGGCCAAAATCTGCCAAAATAAATATTGAATTCATAAATATCCTACAATAACTTCCCCACTTAAAGTTTAAACTCTGAGTGCCAATATTTACCTTAACTATTACAAAATTCTAATCCAACTTTTCAAACAACGTGCTACTCAATATTTGTACCATGATCAACTTAAAAGAAATTATATAAAGTAGAGGAGAATATTTTAATAAAATTAGGATTTTTACCTGTTAACTTGATGTGACCTTCTTCATCAAGAAGTATGCTGAAACAAAGTCAGAAAATCTTTTCAAACCACTAGATAGAGATTTACGGAAGCTAGGATGGAAATTACTGTGTTAAGCACTAGATTACTACATTATTCTAAAATATTTAGACTGTGAATAAAGCAAAGATAAAAAAGGAGAAATAGTTTTTGGATGCACATATGTAACAAATCCCAAAGGCAAAGTCTTACATATGTGTATTAAGGACACCTAAAAGCTGTTAGAAAAAGAATCAAAACCTATATATATTCTTTCCAATTTCTAGTTGTTTTCCTTTTTTTTTAAAATGTTTATTTTTGAGAGAGAGGGTGAGAGAGAGAGAGAGAGAGAGAGAGAGAGAG